ACCCGCGCGACCCGTGACCCGCATGGGCTCGACCCGGATGGGTCAGCGGGCGGGCCTGGGTTGTAGTCCAAAATTGTGGGCCGACCCGTAACCGGCCCGGAACCCGTAGCGGGCGGGCTTTTTTTCACGCGGGCCGTTACCGGGCTCACATGTTGGCGGGCCGACCCGGCCCGGACCACCCCGATTGACACCTCTAGATTTGACTAAGAAATTAGCTTAACAGAATAAAAGACCTAACAAAACGTGTCTAAAGGAATATGATTTCAGTCCAAATCTTACGAGGTAAGTTCGAACTGAAGAATGAGTTTACATAGCCTAAGTGCAGAGAAGTAGAGAACTGATATAGAAATTAGTGACAAGCTTCACTGACTTGTATGAACTCCCAGCCTTCTGTACTCCTGATCTGAACAATCTAGTACATGCAAAGAAACAAGTGGTTAATGGTAAGAACGTGGGCTTTTATGGTGATAATGGTAAGAATATTTTCCTTAAAAGAGGAAATGAAAATACAACATATCAGAATAATCATCATGTCAAAAAAACTACATACCGGTTGCTGAACAAGTCCAAAGAACCAGAGATAACAATACGTGCATTGTTTCTAGCCTGTAATTTATGAACGTCAATATCAAGCCAGAAAGTGAGGATTAGAGAAGATGTCGCTAGAATATTTCCATTAATGAGACAATAGAAATAAATTAAAAAAAAAAACTTGAGCAAACAGAGAGTATTATGCCTCATCTCCATCTAGTGCGTGCATCAGTAGGATAAGATAAGCATCTTTAGCCTTTATTAGTGGACAAATATACCATAATATGAGATATGGAATTTCCACAGATCTAGAACACAAAATTGTTAATAGAAAATGTATCCAAACAAATTAGTTGAAGTGGGTGAGTTGGTCCAATATGATATTGAAATATGATTGTCCAGAGTATTTAAATCTCGCATAAACTTTAGAGAAGTGCATATAGGTGACTCGGCCTTTTAAACAAGAAAGGACATAAAGTTTCATTTAATTTCAGATCATGAAAGGATTTGCCAACTTAAAATCTGTCACGGTTTCTACTAAAAATTTCAACTAAACATCATTTTGTTTGCATCATACCGGTTGGAATAGCTGAATAGGTAGGCCACTGGATGCGTAAGGTCACCCATCCAAATAGCAAAATTGGTTTTGACAGATCTCGATCCAGATTATAGCTTGAAACAGTAAACTACGGAAAGGGAGTAATCAAGACAGTTTTCCATGCCAGGATTCTCTTTCCCATGTTGGGTAACAGCAAATGGCATGGAGCGGGTAACATCTACCTCTCCCCCAAACAAAATGTAAAAAACAGATGCAGGGGAGCGGGAGAGAAAGGGAGGGAGGAAGAAAAGTTTTCAACTTTTAGTAATGGACTCTGTATGAGAGTTGGGTATCTCACTTCTGATGGATGTTAAGTTCATTTGGTGAATGACATGAACAATGATATAATTTATGATGTGAAACCTGCACACACTTGTTTATCTCAATAGCAAGTCTAGATCCAGTCCCTGATGTTAAGAACTTATAGTGTCAAAATAAAGTTTTAGTTCCTGCTTGCTAGCATATAAAATTCAAACTGTATTTGATATATGAATCATATTCCAACAGAATATTGTTTTTAAGTCGTGAAGTTATTCAGGGACAAGGAAAATTTTTGGGAATTCTGCATTTTCTCATCTTTCGATGCGCTTAATATATTGCACTATCTACTTGCCCTGTTGCCCAAGCCAAACTTCAAGGTGATTTTAATTTCAGTCTCAGCAATATAAACCAAATGAATTTCTCTCTGTAATTTCTTGTTCTAAAGCCAGATCCAAACCAACAATGGATTCTAAAAAAATTGGTAACTGTACAGGACTAACCTAGTATAAAAAAATCCTACTAGCTTTAAATCCTAAAGACTGGTCCATTTTTCTCTGAATTATTAATAAAACAGATGCTAATTTTAAAATGAACTATCAGACTATTATCATTGAATATAAATATAATCTATTTTAAATTTCATAGTTCCTATATTACATCATCTGTTGAAATATTGGAGGAATGTGTATTTGTTTAAATTTCAAAATCAATAAAAAAAAGATAAGTTTTATTGGATAAAAAAGAACAAGGGCCATTAGATGGCAAAAAATAATTTAAGCAGAAAAGGATTAGTTTGTAAGGTTCTAATCTATAGAAAATTCAAGGACTACGAACAGACACATTGCTGATGGCACTGTTGGAACCACTCAAGGCAAACAGGACACAAACAAACCTGGACAACTGAAACCAACGAGATTGCAGTTCCAGTAAGTGATGGCGGGTTTGACAACTTGGATGCTGGATTAGCAGAATATGCTGAAGACGACGCTGAAAGAACCTTTAGAGCCTACAAAATGGATGGAAAACCATAGAGAAAAAGTCATGAATGCGAAGCCATCATCATCCAAATATATCAATTTACTTATACTTCTAGAAGTAATGTTGGTAGTATGCAAAAGATAGTCACGATTATCTTCAACATTACCAAACTATTGCCAGGATTCAGTGAATGCCCGGTCCCTTTGAAAAGCACAGGGGCCTGTACGATAAATATAGAAGGAAATTAAACAAGTGAATGGAGAGCTTGTTGACATTGGTTAAATATGTTATTCATGGAAAGTTCAATGAGCTTGGACACTGATGCCAACTATCAAACAATGTAAAAAAACTTTTACAGCTAAAGTACCTACATTCTGAGAAAAAAACTTCTAGAATAGACTCCGGTCACATAAATACCCAAGTACAGCAAGTACAAGACTAAGCAATGTGCACTAATGAGCCGGCATATAGTACGGCAACAATAGAACAGATGAATTGGTATCTTAAAAAATAACCTCAATCTTTGTACTTCCCAAAATAACATCGGAAGGAACAAAATCATCAGCAGCTATTAGTGTGTGGTCTCCCTCGATTTGTGAGACAGCATATCCAGTGTGATCGATAACCATAGCAGAGGGATCCTATGAGAAGAAAAGCCACCACAGACAATGTAAGGATAAAAGACCATGCCAAAAGATATAATGCATAAGAACCAGAGTATAAATAAATATTAATAAAGGGTTCAATACATTCATTTATGAAGACGCTTCACAGATTCGGTGATCAAAGAAGAAGAAATAAGCAAGGTTTGATAGCTGAGTTATCTAATTGTTTAATGATGACATAAAAGAAGACCAGACACTACCAACCCATAACTTGACTCTCATGATAGAAAAGAATTACTGAATAACTTAGAATGATTTATTCTCATAGGAAAAGTATAAATCTGTAAAAACTTCTAATTTTTAAACCTTGCAATTTCAAGTACGCCTACCATTTATTGTTGACAGCACAAGTTATCATCTTGACTAGTAGTAGAGCAGATAATTTGTTATTAAATGAGCCAAAAGATAATACAAATATTTTACAAGAAAGAAAAATTGTCAAACATGAAATGATATTGGATAACAATTACAACTTACATCATCGCTACCCAATGTCTTGTGGCAAGGCCTTATAATTGGATTTGGAAATTAACCCCATTAAATTTGTATTATTCTTTTAGAATTCCACATTCAAAAACCGTAACAAAACAGGAAAAATAAATTAAACTAACCTCATCGAAATCGACACCACATTCAGCTGCAACACTCCGGATCAAATCCGATGCACTGACATCCGCGGCCAACATTAAGTCATGCCCCGAGTCAACGAAATCCAAAACCCCCTCCAAATCCAACGACCCTCCAAACCCTACACAAATATTTCAACAATCAAAACAACAAAACCCATTAAAAAACATAATATGATCCAGACTCCAAGTATACTGATACATAACAAATTAATTGACTTACGGTCAGTTGAAGGAGAGAAAAGAATGAGCCCATCATACAAGTATTGTCCATATCGCTTGACAGCGATTGAAGGGTCATCCGCTAGCTTGAAATCGAGGTCGAAACCACGGGACTCTAGTGAGGTGAAGAAAATTGAATGCGAGGATTTGAGGGCTAGATCGTCGAGAAGGACTAGAATGCGACGATCTGTTGGGTAATCGGGGGAGAAGGAGACAGTTAGGAGCGGCGAAAATGAGAGCAGATTCAGTATAAGCAAGGAAATGGTTGGGAATTTTCCTCCTGCCATCTTGTGTTTAGCGGGGGATTAGGGGATGAAATCTCCACAGACACTCTACTTGTATAATTGTTAAAACAGTATTAGAGGACTAGGGATTGGACCGCTGACTAGAAACTGCATAATTGCAGTACGTCCGTTTCAACTCGAATCGCATTTGTTGAACATGCGATTCATGTGCCGTAGGCGTGTGTGTTCATTTTCAATCTGAATATTATATGGGTTAAATTTACCACATATACCAAAACAACTAAATCATAATCGGGGTTGAAGTCAAGGACGGATCCAGGATTTAACTTCAGCTAGGGCAAACTTTTACCGATGATTGTGTATCGTCAACAATCAACGATCATAATAGTGAGATTGTAATATTTAATTCACAAATTAAAACTAAATGATAAATTACAATTCATAACTCAATGATAGTGTAACATAAATTATTTACCCCAATCCCCCAAATGCCAAATCATGGATTCACAATTCTCATTTCAACGTCAAATTACCAATTAACTCATCGAACATAAATCACGATTCATAAGTAAAGTAGTCATAACTCATAAGTAAAAAATAACA